CATAATTTTGGTGCTATGACACACCCCGACCCAGAAAGTCCACTTGGACCCTGAATCGAGCTGTGCTGGCCGACACCTGGAAGGTGACGAAGCCATAAAATGTGATAGTGTACAAAAAGTGAATAAATTTGAATCTAAAAGTGTCTAAGTACCAGAGTGCGCTACGAGTGGGAGTGAACCCATTTCACACGCGATGTCAGAGCATAAGTAAGGTATAGTAGTATGGGTAAGAATCATACCCTCAAAAATATCCATCAATACTAAGATTCGCCACAGATTCTTGTCGATACAAACTCAGCAGCTAAAACCTGGAGGGCACCAAACAGAAGGTGTGAGTAAGCAATAAAACCAAGCTTCCCAAAGTTATTACCTCTCTAAAAGTAATGCCCCTAAATGTAAAACCCGTATCGTTTTCCATAAGACAGTACAACATATATACATATATCCAAACCATACTCAGAAATGACCAAAACCACGGTTTGCCATTAACTCTACCATACATTAATAAGTAGGCCAAATGAACTAAATCAATACAAAGTGATATATCAGTCCGAGTCATCTAAAATGACATGTACAACTTATCCGTATCTCATCAATCATGGCTAGCATATAAGTCGGAGTCACCTCTAGTGACCTGTACGACTTATCCATATCTCATCAATCCTGGCTAGCATATAAGTCGGAGTCACCTCTAGTGACCTGTACGACTTATCCATATCTCATCAATCATGGCTAGCATATAAGTCGGAGTCACCTCTAGTAACTTGTACGACTTATCCATATCTCATCAATCCTGGCTAGTATATAAGTCGGAGTCACCTATAGTGACCTGTACGACTTATCCATATCTCATCAATCCTGGCTAGCATATAGCTCAATAAGTATACCTGCACACGAGTCGGAACCACCTAAAGTGGTCTGTACGACAGGACTGGGTGTAAATAAATACGCTCAAGTGCTACGATCACGTGAAGACTGGGCGAATAATCGCGGGTCACCTACGAGTCGGAACCACCTAAAGTGGTCTGTGCGACAGGGCTGTGCACCTACCTTGGATCCAAGGTGAGCGTAAGGTGCGGGAGGTGAACATCACGTGAAGGACTGTGCCCTGGCCACGGGCGGGAGCACTAACACCGGGGTGCAGGTTTATGAGCTCTCAATGCATCTCAATATAACATGTGCAACTCATAGCAACCAGTACGACAGTATCGAAGTTGCCTAACACATAACTGTAGTCATGCTATAACGCAATCGATTCAACTAGTACCATAAACTCACCTGAACTTACCTGGGTGTCCTAAGTTCACCTTTGCACTTGAAAGCATTCCCAATAATTATATGCAAGTAATATACATATTGATATACCATGATGCAATCTAATACTCAACCATGTCGTAGCATGTTCAATTATAAACAATACAGTGAGAAGTGTACAATCAATAACGCCCTACTCCCAAACTACTTATTTTCAGGGATAATTATCCATGACGACCCAATTAACACTAATTTAGCTAACTAATTCATAAAACTAAAACTTGCCTTTACCAATTTCCTTCGCCTTACTCAATTTCCCAAGCAAGGCTTTTGTCTCAAATATTTTATGGCTGCATCTAACGTCTCGTTAGACTGCCTACGTACCCTAAATAGGGATCAAGCCATTCGTAGTTCATATAGGTACTTCAAGCATTCACAATAATTATATATGAAAGTAATATACCTAATCAATTTAAAAGTGTTGATAGAACTCTCAACAATATGTACGATAAAAAGGAAAAGATCCACTTACCTGGAGTCCATGCTATGATTCTCTAGCGCACACATCGAGGCGTCCTGAATGATTGGTCCCTATGACCAATTATCAAATCACATCTCAGAACTCTTATCTGAAGAATACGTAATTCACATAAAACACAACCTCAACGACATTCTAAAATAGTTTGATACCCATTGACCACAAGTCAACCGTCGATCAAAGATCGACGGTAGGGTTTACAACCCTGTATAACTTGACCCGGAAGATCCGCATATCAGATTTCCAATCCACAACTCCCAACGATCCACAATATGTTTCTAGAATAACATACTAAAATTTCATTACGATCCAACGGTCAGATCTCCGCCAATTGCCTAAAACAAGTGGCCATGAACATTTATTTTACTAACTTACAAATCCAATTCAGGAAGATCCGTAAGTCGGATTCCCGATCCATAAATTCCTATGATCTTTAAATATTACGTATTATAATGTATCCAATTTTGATGACGATCCAACGGTCGGATCATCGATTCACATTTTTATCAAGTAACGTATCGTAACGAATTTAGGTTCCAACTATCAACCTACGTCATTCAAATGACAAAACTGAAATCAAAACATTCGACATAGCCTAAAAATAGCATTGGCGGCTTACTGGCCACGCGCCGCCGCGGGTGGCGGTCGGCCGTCCCGACTTGCCGGAAAATCCAACTATTTCCAAAAATTCTCAAACTTCACAGAAATGAAGATCTCAGTGAGTGGAGCAACTTTCATACCTGCCACGAAGTCCAAAAGTGGACGGAAGATGGTCAATTTTGCCTACGAAGCCGGCGGGTGCCTAAAACTTCCCGACGTCGATTCGTCGTCTACGGTGGTCCAACGGGGTCAAGGTTGGTTGGGTTTTGCTCCTGGGATGATGGGCTACAAAGCCCAAGTGGTGGCATCGGCCATTGCTTTGCCGATTTGCCGGAAAATCGAAAAGGGTGGCCGGAGCACCATTGATTTTCGTCAACTTTCGTGGCCTCAAACCGCCCCATACCATGGTTAATCAAGGTGGTTCTTGGGTGGGTTTTGTAGAGGGGAATGAGAGCTTCAAGATGGTGGTGGTAGCATCGAAAAAATCCACCGGAGTTGGCCGGAATTGGCCTTGGAAGATGGACTCGCGGTGGTGCGGGTATGGGTGCACGGGAAGCTCTCTTCCCCTTTTTTTTTTTTTTTTTTTTTTTTTTTCTTTCTTTTTGATTGGCTGCAAGCTTCACTTTTATTTTCTAATTGGTTCCTTGTCGCTTTAATTTAATTGGTCCACTAATCCCACAAGGTGGGAATTCAAATATTTAAATAACCAATTTCAAACGTCCATAAGTATACCGTTATAATCCGGACTCGCAAACGGATTTCGCCTATACGTTCGTACCAAAGAGTACTACGAGGATATGCTTAAAGAATAAGTCCCACATCTCTCAAGTCGATGGTCAACGGAAGTCAAAGTCCTTGCCTCTAGGGCAATTTCGTAAATTCACGCTTTTAAAATAAAATAAAAACGTAAAATTTGGAACGGGTTGTCACATGCTATATGCACATTATATTGTAACAAATTTCCTATAATCTAGCCTTTTGATTACACTCTCCTTTATTAGAGATAATTGTTAAAAAAAAAAAAAAAGTTGGTTAGATTCAATTTATTTTCACAATAATGCTACAATTTAACAATAATTATCTACTATTGAAGATATTTTCTTTCCAAAATAGTTTAAAATATTTTTAAATCCCTCAAAATCAAACGTACCGAAATGAGTTTTTCTTTTCGTACGTTAAGAGAAAATAGGATTGAAAATAGTATAAATGTACCAATGCACAATGTGTACAAAATAAAATGTACCAAAATAAAAATAATGTACCAATATTAATAATATATATCAAATCAAACGTACCAAAATCGCAAATAAACGTACCAATTAATGATTTTTGTAAATTCAAACGTACCCGCAAATAATATATACGTAATATATTATACCTAATAATAATTCGTCAACAACTATACTTAAAAAAACAACAAAAAAAATATATACATAATTTCACAAAAAAATTGAAAATTACATGAGCTTTTATGTTGATCACCATGTGACATCCCACATCGCCCAGGGGAGTGATCCTTATATGTATATTCTCATCCCTACCTAGCACGAGGCCTTTTGGGAGCTCACTGGCTTCGGGTTCCGTAGGAACTCCGAAGTTAAGCGAGAAGGGGGCTAGAGCACTCCCAGGATGGGTGACCCATTGGGAAGTTGCTCGTGAGTTCCCAAAAACAAAACCGTGAGGGCATGGTCGGGGCCCAAAGCGGACAATATCGTGCTACGGTGGTGGAGCGGGCCCGGGAAGTGGTCCCCCCCGGGTCGGGATGTGACAATTTGGTATCAGAGCCTAACCCTGGTCGTGACAATTGGTATCAGAGTCTAACCCTGACCGCGTGTGTGCCGACGAAGACGCCGGGCCCCTAAAGGGGGTGGATTGTGACATCCCACATCGCCTAGGGGAGTGATCCTTATATGTATATTCCCATCCCTACCTAGCACGAGGCCTTTTGGGAGCTCACTGGCTTCGGGTTCCGTAGGAACTCCGAAGTTGAGCGAGAAGGAGGCTTAAGCAATCCCATGATGGGTGACCCACTGGGAAGTTGCTCGTGAGTTCCCAAAAACAAAACCGTGAGGGCGTGGTCGGGGCCCAAAGCGGACAATATCGTGCTACGGTGGTGGAGCAGGCCCCGGGCCGGGATGTGACACACCAACTATTTGAAAAAGAAAAAACCATTTGAAAAAAAAATAATATTAAATGTTTGCATAAAAAGCATATTTTTAAGAAGAGAAAAAATAGTTTAACTACTAAAATCTCCACTAAATAAGGAAAAGTGCATCCTGCAGGTAAAATGATAAATTCAAAATTTATTTTAATTTTAAAAAATAAATGTGACTATTGGTTAAAACGCTTTAATCAAAATTTAAAAAGACATAAATGTTTAATCTAAATGATATAGAAAAAACGTAAAAAATTCCAATTTTCCCAAAAAAAAAATACCGATAAACTGTAGTATAAAGCGGCGTATTCATGACTTAAACATACTAAAGGATATCGAAATCTAGAAAAACCGAAAAAACCGAAAACAAAAAAGTTTGGAAAAAAAAAAAAGAACTGAAAAATAACGCAACATTGCCTTTATAATTACGTCGGGAGAATTAAATCAACGGAAAAAGGAAGGGAATTGTTATTAGGCCAATTACAGTTCCCAAAAAAAAGACTTGGGTCTTCGCCGTTTCAGTTTTCTTCTTCCGAATTGGGGATAAATTGAGTTTTCGCCATTTCGTATCCAGTTCCACATCTTTACAGTATCGATCGATCGAGAGAGAAGGAATGGGAGTGCTGTCGAACAAGATTGAGAGGGATCTTCTGAAACCTGGAGATCACATCTATTCATGGCGCCACGCGTACCTCTATTCCCACCACGGTTCTCCTTTTCTCCTTTCTCTCCTTTTAATTATTTTAATTTTTATGTGTTTATTCATTTATTTGCATATCAGGAATTGTTTGTTGATGCTTTTCCGCTTTTTGTTTCTGGGACTGTTTTTCCTTCACTTAAGTATCAAAAGATTGGATTTTTATTGTTAGTTTCTGGGTCTGTTTTTCGTACTAGATCTTTCTGTCTGATCAGTGATCACAGTAAGATTAGTTCCTGAATCCACAGTTCAATAGCCTACTAGTACTATCTGAAAATTTCAATCATTTCTACTACTTTTTGTTGTTGTTAATTAGTGGGATCGTATAATTTGCGGAAACTGTTGTGTGCGTGTGGACATGGCTGCAGGCGACAATGGGTTGCTGTTTATATATATTTGTATGTGAATGTTGCTAGTAAGTATTGTTCAAGTAGGGGTATTGGTTTAAATTCAGCTTAAGTGGAAGAGGAAAATTCGAATAGCAAGTCAGGCGAAAACGAAGGACAGAAAAAAAATAATGATTCTTTAACCTTGAGGAAGTTAAGTTTTGTTATCAGACTGAAATGGTTTGAGACATCATTGAGTTTACAGTCAAGCAATTTGCACGGTTAGTCACTGGATCAGCATATTCACCACTACTTAGAAATTGTGATTAGAAGAATGTCGATCGAAATGATTTTTCTTTAACTTGGAAGCAGTTATTTTGGTTATTGGTGACTGCAATGAGTTTACAGTAGAGCAATTTGTATAGTTATTCAATTGTCAGTGGATCAGCGGCTTTTACTGATTATGAAATCCCTAGTTCTAATCGTCAATTGATTGCATTGCTGGTATGAGTCGTGATTAAAAGAATGTTATTGATCAATGTGGACGTACGGTATGCATTATTTTTTTTGGGTCAGTCTCCCTCTGGCACACACTTATACACAAGAATACTCTGGGGTTGGACTTTTGGAATATGATTCCATTATTTAGATTGAGAGGGCGAATTAGGAGAATTGAGTGGTTTTGTTGAAGTTATATATTCCATTTGGAGCATGTACTGAAGGAGTCCTCACATCTTAGTTCTCTACCTATGTGTCTGTAGTTTTGATGATTTTTTTGAAAACTTGCGCAGTTTAGTTTTCTTTCATCCATAGTTTTTCTTCTTTGTACTTCCATCAGTTTTCGTTATTGTATGAGGACAACTTTTGTGTATTTTACTTTTAAATCCTGCATTTAATTCACCTTGGAAGGCATGGCATTGCTGATCGTTTATCTGCTATGTGATCTCAGGGATATACGTTGGTGAAGGAAAGGTTATTCACTTCACTCGAGGAGCTGGCCAGGAAACTGGCACCGGAACTGTGTTAGATCGCTTCCTTCTAAGCAGCTCTCCATCCCATTCTTCGGACAATCCCTGCCCAAACTGCGGAGACCAATCGACACTTGATGGTGTCATCTCTTCTTGCATAGATTGTTTTCTATCAGGTGGTGATCTTTACCTCTTTGAATATGGTGTCAATCCAGTTTTCTTTATTGCCAAACCTAGAGGGGGTACCTGTACCCTTGCCCGGTCTGACCCACCCGAAGATGTCCTTCATCGCGCTTCTTTCCTTCTGCAGAATGGTTTTGGTAGTTATGACATTTTCAAAAACAACTGTGAAGACTTTGCTATATATTGCAAAACAGGTTTGCTTGTGTTCACTAGCATTAGTGTGGGCAGGAGTGGACAGGCAGCCTCCATTGTAGCTGCCGCAACAGCTGTTGTTTCTTCACCGCTTCGCTTTTTGACTACCAGTTTTACTGGTCTGGGTGTTGTAGGCTGTGGCATGTATTGCATTAGTAGATTTGTTTCTGATATCGGAATACGCCGAGATGTTAAGAAAGTACCGGTGGAGAGACTGATTACCCCCTGTGCCCTAGACGAGTCAGTGGTTGCAACTGAAGTGCTCAAGAAAGAATAATTTGTGTGCATAAACCGAATTCGTATGGCTTCAAAAGTCGAATATTTTGGTTGTATTATACATTGATTGTTGAGTGTTGGTATTAGTAGTTTATAATTGCTTGTATTTTTCGCGGTTGTGACGATAACGGTGAATGATATATTCATTCGTTGGTTTATGTATTTTGCTTTGATTTGTTCACTTGGTGTACTTTGTTCATCCCTCTGTTTTTTGCTACATTTATATCATGCCCATGAAATGCCCTGTAAATTTGGTGCGAAAATCACTGATGCGAGAAACGAAACAAGTTCGCTATTCTTGCAGCAAACTTAAGAACTTTCACAACCAACCTCTTACCGTCGACAAATATTGTAAGCTGTTATTTAATCATATAATTACATGTACAGATACAAATACAGGGATGACAACAAAATCTGTTGTGTTACAAGAAAGTACACAATCAATCAACATCCAAAAACTGAATGATATACCAAATGTTAATCCAACAATGAAATCTCCAGCTAGTAAGGCCAAATACTACCGCCGCCTGGCTTTTTTACGAGAATCTGACTGTATTCCGGCCTCGATGTCTGCAGTTTACACATTCAAATGTTAAGATCTAAAACTTTTAACCATTTAAATTGAACATTTACCAGGCCCTCTTGAAATGTGTAATATAGAAGAGATTAAGGAATGAACTCCAAGATCATTACATGGGTACATAAGAAGGATTTGCAAGTGACACCTTCCAAGTAGGGATTTCAAATCCCTCTCACATGGCTTTGTAATGGTCATGGAGAGTTTTTTGTAATGCCGTCGTCCCTCCTATTCAACTTTTTTGATCAACTAATAACTTCCCATCAATCCCTTGGAACTTGGAAATCCCTTAACCCGAAAATCGCCTAAAGTGAATCTTTATATCATCAAATCATAATATTATTGGTATGTGATAGTCTTTATCAAGGGTTTCTCACCCCAAGTTTATTTATGTTGTCTAAATAATGCAAGGTAGTAACCCAGCAAACATCAACTGCAATCAATTACTCTAGCAGCTTAATCATCATCCATTGCTGAAATTAAGGATTAATTTCAAATTTCTAGAAAAAGGTGATTAGCGTAAACAATCTTAGACTTAGCATGAATAGACAAAAAACCACCCACAAAGAAATCAATTTGTTATGAAGCTTCTATTCAATGGGATGTTTGGGCCTTAAATGCATCCTTGGTTTCAGATTAATGCAATCTAATTGGCATATACTGATATTTAGTTCTATCTTTGGAGGGTCTTTCTTTCTACTTGTTAACTAATGGAACTAGAAGGCATTTTGCGCCACAACGTGAAGGGGTAAATGAGTATGTTGTGTGAACTTCGGAATGGAGAATTCTTCTCTGGGTTTTGTTTACTCCTATTTAACTGCAATGATTCTATGACCAAATCAGATTTTGGCTAAGCTGTATTAGGTACAGGTTTCGACAGGTTGACCAGGGTATTTTGCTTTGACTATGCACTTGCAATTAACTTTTGGCACTAAACCAAAACCATTTTTTTGGTTCTTTCTTTTACTACTTAGCTTCCTAGAAATGCATAAACCTTAGATTCCTTTCTTACTTATGTTAAACCTTCATTTCAGCTACATTCATGAGAGGCTTGCTATTTCTAAACTACATAACCCCCATATAACAGACTGCGACTGCAATCCCTCGAAACAAGAGTGCTGGGGGTCAAAAGATTGATTCGGGGGTAAGTCCCGCAGAAATAAGCAAAAGCTGAACCTTTCTTTTTAAAAGTTACTTAATCTGTTATACAAGCGATGTCGGGGCAGGGGGACTTGAACATAGGATCTCAGGTGCAAGGGTAAACGCTCTTAACCACTTTGAGATACAAACCCTTGCCCTTTAGTAGCACTTCTCTCTCCGAATAGGTCCCAAATTCGAATACCCCTATCCCTATTGATTATAAAAAACTACTAGCAAACCCTTGGTTAATAATTTAAACGTTTTCGGTTCTATAATTATGTGCTCTTACATTCAAATATCCAGAACAGTTTTGCCCTATTCAATCAGCAAGAGTTAAAAAAATTCAAGGATCTGTATAATTTGTTCGTCCCTAAAATTAACATATCACATGAGGTGATTAATTATATGAACCGAATCAATTTCAAGAAAATTAAAATTGCATAATTAACGAAATTAACATAATATAATGACAATTAGGAAATCAAAATCCAAAAATAAAGAATCCAAGGAAAGAATCAGAAGAAAAATTGAGAAAAAGACGAATTGGGAACTTACGAGATCTTTGAAAATGATGAAAGCGATTACGAAGAAAAGAACAAAGAGGATTTCGAACTCGGCGAATCGAAAGAACCGAAAGACCGACTTGACGCCCCCAGTCAATGCGGCCTCGTTCGAATTCCGGCTGCTGACTCGTTTCGCCATCGTTGCAGTGGTGGCTCTGTATCGTGTGCCTTCGTTTACCTTGGTAGTTGGTAGTAAAGGGGTTCGCGAGGATGGCATTGATTTTGTCCAGTTTCCTTTTAAATTAATAAAAGAAAAATACAGAAAAGTCAGATTCAGATAAAAAGTAAAACAGAATATTAGTCAATGTGCAAATTTAGCTTATTCTTGTTGTAAAATCGACAGTGTGTGTGCAGTGGAATAAGACACAAAATTTACGAGGTTCCTCTACAGTCAGTGTGACTGGAGTACGTCCTCGGGCAGCAGTAGTGCTTTCATTATAATTTGGAATAATAAGAGTACAAAGATAACTCTATTTATTCTCTCCTCTCCTCTTCCTCTCTTTCTTTCTCTGCTCTTTTTCTTTTTTCTCTTTTATCTTTTCTGTTACACGAAAACATATGGAGTGCTCTATTTATAGAGCAACTCCATATTGATGCATTAACTGCATATTGAAATTTGTAACGCGTCTTCTGACAGCACAATTCATTTTCGACTTTCATTTTCTACAAATGGAACTGTGGGCATTCATTGCCCATGAGACTTTTCAACACTCCCCCTTGGATGCCCACATATCAACATGAGTTGCCTCGTTAAGATCTCGATCTATTTTTGGATGCTCCCCCTTGATGAGTATCTCCCCCTGATTTCAAATTATTTAGGCTGATCATTAATCCTGCTGCTTTAGTCATTTAGCGGTGATAGTTGCCGAATGAGGTGTTTCACTTGTTGTTAACTTTCCACAGACTTGTTCTTGAACTGGGTTTGAGGGCCTTCTGCTAGACTTCTTCCAAAGGTCTGAATTTACCTATTTTATTTGGAACTGAATTTGATTCAAGGATGGTGGACACTTGATCTTGAATCGTACTTATGATTTCTTCAAAGACCGTCTAGGCTTGATCTTGAATGAAATTGGACCATGAAGAGCTTCATGTGATAAGTGATCTTAGACTTTGTCGGGGATGAACTGACATGTGTTTGTTGTGGTTGTCTCCACATGCTTCAATGTATCATTTTCACTTGCCTTACTTGCTCCCCTTGCAGAAGTGGTATTTTCCTTATGCAGGTTTGGCATCTTCTCGTGTAGTATTTGTCCTCTGATACAGGAGTGGGATGCAAACCTGGTATTTGAATGGACCATCACTTCTTGGTGGCAACGCAAGTTTGAGTGGAGGTTCCGACATATTGCTTTCTCTGTCCTTGTCTTGGCAGGTAAGAACAAGGACAAAGGAAAGGACAGGGAGATTGCATGATATGAGATACTCTTGCTCTCGTCCCTGATGATATGAGATACTCTTACTCTGGTATGACTTGTTTGTAAAGGTATTCTCGGAGAGGAAGAAAACTGAGTATTTCGAGATACTTCGTGAAATATGCATTCTCGGAGATGAGGAAGAGTTAGATATTTTTCAGTTATGCCTTGCCATGAAGGACAGAGGTTGAATATATATGGATTTCCCAATAGCAGGTAGTAGTGCTGTGCCTTTACTCTTGTCAGCAACTGTGGTGTAATTAGAACAGTAAGATTCACGCGTTTTCAACTTTATCAGAGATCTTTGACAAAGTTGCACGTGATATCCAAGAGCTGAGATTGCGTCTGAGAAAATGTTGACAAACATCATGCAGAGAAATCCGGCTTTTGAAATTTGAAAATCGGTGTCTCTTCGATTTTTGAATAAGTGGTCATGTTGCCCCTCCTTTTATAGAGATATCAATTTTGTTCAGAAACACTCAGAAAATTGTTGCCTGCAGAAATTTCCCTTTCTTGCACTTCTGAGATTTTATCTGACTTCCTTCATCATTTCTGAAAATGGCTTGCCCATCTAACATTTGCTTAGATTTGAGTCTCAGGATTGATACAGGCGAGCAGCGTCAGGATAACATATGGCGCCCGTCCTTCTCATCTTCTAATGGTCCTCTTACGGTTGGGGACTCTGTGATGAAGGATAACATAACTGCTACAGTGGTAGCCAGGAATCTTCTCACTCCAAAGGACAACAGAATCCTTTCAAACCGGTCTGATGAGGCAGCCGTTCAAGACTCATTGGCTCTCAGTGTTCAATGTGCGGGCTCTGTATCCAATATGGGCCAGCGCTTACTTGCTCGAACTCACCAAGTTGAATCATTAATGGCTGAGGTGGCAAGTCTTAAACAAGAGATTAGAGGGCTTAAGCATGAGAATAAAGTGTTACACATGCTTGCAAATAATTACTCTACGAGCATGAAAAGAAAGCTCGACCAGCTACTGGAATCCGAAGGTCGGACTCAAAATGACAATCGGGGGTTCGAGTCTTTATTCCAAAGACATCCATTGTCTTAGCTGTCTGGAGTTTCACCAAGTATTGAGACTCCAAATAATCAACTTCTGGTGTCTTCCCCTTCTAGGGTACTTCCGAGTACTGAGGCTTCACATGAGTAACCTTTGTGAAGGTTCCTTTTTGTTTGTTTGTTTTAACTCATGTGTATATAATTGCTCGGAGATATTAATATATAAGCTTTATTTCATTCAGTGTATTGTGTTAAATACAATAAAGCATATATTTCACTAAGATGTGGTACTTCTGGACCAAATATCAATTTATCTTTACCCCTCGCGAAGATAAATGATCATTCTTAGTGTATTAATTATTTGAGTATTCAACTCATAATCTTCAATCCATATGATTCTTTAATGTCGTAAACATCATGGATAAGATTCGTGTTGGCATATTGTTCGATTCTGCAGTTCGAGACAATATTTCTCTCAACACTTTATAATCTTTCTTGACTCTTCAGGAGTCCCAATTTAATATCATCAACTCTTGCAAGAGATTTTAGTATGTTGCAACAATACCATAATGGAAGTACTCACTAAGGCAATTTATACCATTCATTGGTATTGAGTACATAATTTATGCTTTACCCTTCCGGGGCTTTCTTCAAGCAATTTGAATCCTTCAGGGATTTTCTACATTTCATGACACATTTTCCTCTAGAATTTATACAGAGCAATTTGCTTCCATGTATATTTGAAGGATTTATTTATGGAGATATTATGTGGGCGACTCATAACCCTTCATATATAATTCTCCATTCATATGAACTCGTTTCCAACCCTGTGTCTTATCATATGAGTGTATTTCACGGTATTACAAATGCCCATATGTAACCTTCTAGGTTCAACATCTTTTGGCTATTTGTATTGTATCCAAGTATATAGGTATATTTTTCCACGTTCTTACAAAATTATAATGGATTTGCCTTTATCCATTTTTAGCCCATAATTTTGTTGATGGAAAAAAAACGGGACTCAATATCACCACAGCTCATTGATGAATTTAGTAGCTACTGGTAAAAACCAAAATTACCATTGGTTATCATCAATCTGTGATCCCACATTCTCATGTGCATGCGCATGCATAAAAGTTTTTCATTTCTTTTGGGATATCCATTGCTTCTTCAAGGGCATTACACTATCTCTTCTAGGATAGTCATAATTTAGAGAATGCGGATCATAACCTCCTTTTGAGCGTTATAGAGCTTGGATTTTAATCTCCACTTCGGGAGTTGAGTCATTAGAACCTATACGTCTATCATGCTTCATGCATGAGACATCAATACTCTCATGTCTGCGGATTGACCTTTTCGGGACAAGTATCCTTGCAACAACTGTCATGCTTCTGGCATGCGACAGTTATGCAATAGTTCAGTAGTGCCATATTTTTCTTCTTTCGAAGGACTGAACCTTTTGAGTCTGAGGGTCTGCCACGCTTCAGGCGTGCAACAGATAAATCATTTGCTGCCATATTATTTTGTCCAACAGGGACATTAATTCTTGTAGGCACATTTGCAGCAAGCATATGTGATTTTATCACTTTCGTTTCATCATTAAATGCATCTAGCATTTGATTTGCATATCGTTGCATCATTCAATTATTCTCACTTCGTTTGTAAATTGATTGCTTCATGAATCAAAATAAGACAAATTCTCTTCGTTCTTCTGGAACGGTTTTTTCTTATCATTCTTTTGGAATGATATTTGTTCATCGTTTTTCTAAAACGAAGTTATTTTCTCCCCCTAACGGCAGGAAAATTGTCTTATCAAAATGACAGTCCGCAAACCACGCGGTAAATATATCCCCAGTCAAGGGTTTTAAATATTGAATGATAGATGATGTCCAACATCAATGCCTAATCCGCAATGATGCTTCATTTTAGTATGTTGTGGCAGTGCAATAGGCACATAGATAACACAACCAAAAACTCGTAAATGTATAATGTTTGGCTGGTTCCCAAACACGAGTTGTACTAAGAAGTATTGATGGTTATCAACAGGTCTCAACCAAATCAATAATGTATCATGTAAAATGACATGTACCCATGTAAAAAACTGGCAATTTTATTTTCATCAGCAGAACGCGGGTAATCAATTTCATCCGCTTAATAAATGCTTCTGCTAAACCATTTTTGAGTATGGACATAAGGAACTTCTGGTCCTTATTTAATAGTCTGCAGACTGAGACTCTTATGACTTTTATTACAATTAAGTTGAGGCACTGCGGCACTTCAAACTTAAGGTACTTATCAAGGAACTTCATGTCCTGATCTTTTTGTTTGATGGAACTTCAGGTCCAATCATTTTTATTTTATGAGGATCAAGAAACTGCAGGTTCTGATCTGATCAAGGAACTTCGGGTCCAGTATGTACTCATCGTAACAAAAAGAAGTACAATAAATAAATTAAAGCAATAGGCGGTAATTCCAGCCATAATGAATAAATTGCATTTAAGTAAATAAAGCTTGTGACAATGGCTTTAATTTAGCACCATTCACATAAATCAAAACTTAAAGCAGTAGGCGGTAAAACCGTCCATGATAAATAAATTGCTTTAAAGGAAATAGAACTTGTGAAAGGGTTTTAAACCAACACCAATTCACATAAATAACAAGAAGTATCATACCTCCTTTTATTTATTATTTTTCTTTCTTTTTGTCAGCACTTATTAAAACCTGCAACATGGTGCTGTGCACCAACAGAAACCTATTTATGTTATGTTGACCAAATGGTGCCATGCACCATTCAAATCCTTTTTTTTTATATATTTTTTCTTAGGTTGCAGTTAACATCTCCTTTTTTTCTTCTTCACATGTGCCTTGCCATTCCATCAATCCCCCTTTTCTATTATTTTTCTTCCTTCTCTGTCTCTGCCAGTCTCGAAACACAAGGCCAGCTGGGTAGTTATGGAGGTTGCCCAAATTCAATTCAGAGACTGGCGTTGTTCTTGCATGACCCAGGGAACATGACATCGTTAAGCAAGAACCTCCTTACAGAGACATAGATGACAGTGGGGTTGACGGAGGCACAAGAGAGGGAGGTCTGTGTGGATTCATTCTTGCCATCACCATCTCAAACAACCAAGTATTCATGGGAGTTCTCAAGATCCGTCGAAAACAACGTGATCTGGGTTTCCAAGTCTGATGAGATTCTTCTGGATCTCTGGAAACCAGTTGTCAAGTACGAGTTTTCTCATCTCGTGACGACTTCAGGTCGTAAATTTCAATTCTCACTGGAATTCGGTGGGGCGCTTCTGGCGCAGTGGGAGAGACGAAAAATGGACATACCTTTTATTCTGTGAGATTTTAGATGACTGAGGTGAGAGGTGGATAGTGCTTTACCGGATTTATGGTGTTATGCTTTCCACTGACATGAGAGCTTTTCGTGCTGATAACGTGTTGTAAAATCGACAGTGTGTGTGCAGTGGAATAAGACACAAAATTTACGAGGTTCCTCTACAGTCAGTGTGACTGGAGTACGTCCTCGGGCAGCAGTAGTGCTTTCATTATAATTTGGAATAATAAGAGTACAAAGATAACTCTATTTATTCTCTCCTCTCCTCTTCCTCTCTTTCTTTCTCTGCTCTTTTTCTTTTTTCTCTTTTATCTTTTCTGTTACACGAAAACATATGGAGTGCTCTATTTATAGAGCAACTCCATATTGATGCATTAACTGCATATTGAAATTTGTAACGCGTCTTCTGACAGCACAATTCATTTTCGACTTTCATTTTCTACAAATGGAACTGTGGGCATTCATTGCCCATGAGACTTTTCAACAATTCTTACATTTTTGCCACATAACTAAATTTATTAAGGCATTCTACACTAAATTATATTAAACCTAAGTTTGATTTCTATAAGGCTCTCAGAGTATCTCGGAAAAAGTTAGTGTTATACCAATGCATTGAATGGAAATTACATTTTTACAGAGGGTCGGCAAATTTGAACGTGATATAATTTATTGAACTCATGAGTTCAATATATCAAATTCATGATTGTGGTATCAACATATTGAACTCACATTAATGTAGCATTTCTGTTACTTAGGAAGTCTGATTCTAATATATAGGTACCACATTCACTTGAACCATTGTGGAAAACCTAATATTATTATTGCAAGTTTGTTAGGCCTTCTATGTATATTAAACGCATATAGTAATCACACTTTTAGAGTAAGCCAAAACACTTGAGTGTGATGCTAATATATTGAAATCACACTAGCGTAGCATTGTTATAAGTATCAACTCAATCTGACTAATTCATATACAAATATCACACTCATGCAAATTACTATAATATAACCTTTCAACGAGTCGTGCTTGTGTTAATATGTTATCTTAATATGTTATCTTGTATCAACTTGTTAAGCTATCGACTGAAGAAATTCAAACTCGAACATGACTTTGTAACACATGTTAACAACTTCTTACTTTTGCCAAATAAAACTTGAAATTTCATCTCAAAGGAGGGAAAGATTGATAAAACCAAAAGATCCAATTATAATCTTCTAAAATGGTATTTTTGCTAGAGCTAGGTACCCCTATTTTTTTTTTTTTTTGTTGAAAGCGACTCAAAATTTGTTACAATTGGTTCTTGTCTCAATTTATTTGTTGAATGCATATCTCGCGAGGCGAATTTTCATAAACACTCAAGTTTTGGAGAGACTTTTCATTATAAGAGAACACGATTCAGTATATAAGTGTTACAAACTAATTTGTTAGAAACTTGAAATTTTTTTTTTAATTAATTGTTTTGTCATACTTCATCCAAACTGTGTTTCCGATGTTCTTCAAGTTTTGAGAACTCTATCAACAGGCTCCAAAATATAATTATGTTTTTGATGAAATCTCACATAATTCTATTCATAGATAAAGACTTAACATAACAGATACAAGTAAGTTTTTCAACACATTTCAATATTTTAGAGGATCAGACATCATTTGGGGTGTGACTATTATGTTGCTTTTGGAAATGTGCAATGAAAAATACTTATATGTAACTGAAAAGAAATTAATCAAATTTTTAATATGATGTAATTATTTGGACTTGTTGAGGGCAATATAAGTTAGGTAATTTGGTGCTACAGAGACCTGCTCAAAATCCCTAAATTGCCAGTTGCAACTTGAACGAACGAGAGGCTCTCCCTTTTCCTCTGTGCAGGTAAATCCATGGCGTCAACGAGTCAACGATCCCTCCTCCTCATCGCCCTCATCACCCTCTCCCTCTTCGCCATCTCCGCCACCGCATCAAGGCCCTGCAAAACCCTCTTCGTTTCCTCCTACTCCTTCTCCCTCCGCCGTCTCCCATCCTCCTCTTCCTCCTCCGGCTTCGTCACCGTCGTCACCGAAATCGGCCAGCTCCGCCCTGTACACATCCACCCTGCCCGCTCAGAAGACGTCTTCGTCCCACACCACCACCACCACCACCACCACGACAGCGAGAAGCGGACTCAGACGGCACCGCTCTTTCCCTTCATCGGAACGGCTTCTTCGTCGTCGTCCTACGACCTCAGCTCCCTGCGCGATCGCACCAAGGACATCCTTAGCGTCGTCGTTTCGCTGCTTTTCGGCGTTGGCTGCGGCGCGCTCACCGCCGCCACTATGTACCTGGCTTGGTCCGTCTTCATCAGTCGCCACGACGACAGCGGCTCCAGCTCTTTCGATGACGATTTCAAAGACTTCAGCCCGAAGAAGGTGGGTTATGTCAAGATTCCGGAGGTGACCGCTGACTCCGTTTCCCCACCACCGTCTACGGTCAAGGAAGCCGCCGCCGCCGCAGTGTGAATAGCGTCATGATGATGGCAAGTTGGTAATTCCATAAATACCTTATAATTAAACAAATGTGCCCCTTGGATGATGAGAAGTTTGTGACTGTGTTGTGGTTTGGTGATAAAATAAGCTTAAATCGTACGCCGTGGTCTGTATTTATCGAATTACTACTTAATTATTGTCCTCTCAGTCTTTTCCTATATAGTTTATCCAGATAGGACACATTTGAAATGTTGTTGTATTTCGTATTCGTTATATACGCAAGCAATTGTGTTGATGCTGCCGATGGATGGACACTGAACATGCTTATGCATAATGCAAATACACTGAAGATGTTGAGCATTAAACCCTTACTGCTAGAACATAACTTATTCTAGGGGGTTTTGTTAACTGTTTTAGCCTTCTACGGAATTGGCATTCTTCATAAGAATTGGGGATGGTCGGTTTTATGCGATGTCCCTAAGTTTCAATTTCCCACCCATGAATGTGTTCCTGGTTTATTGTCTTTCCTTCAGCTTCATATTGCTACACCACCGTGTAATTGTTTTTCATGGTGTAAATGTTGTGGGTTCTCTCTATTGATACCCATTGGGTAGTTGCTGTGATGAGTTTAGTTGTTCTTGAGCATTTTGTTGTTACAACTTGCATGATTGGGTTTTTGCCTTTGTTTTTGGTGGCAAATGTGCATTTTCTTTCTCGGCTATGTTTTCTGTCTTTGTTTCGTATGAAAAATTACATTATATTTGAAACATATGATCTATAACTGGCTGGGTTATTTAGTGGTTGTTAGTACTATGATTGGGAAGATCTGGTTGAGTCAGATAGCATAATTCAAATTGCGAAGAATATGTTACCGCAATAGCTTGGATTGTTTGATTTATCAATTCGTAGGCGATAGATGAGCATCTTAATGTGTTTGCAGTGAGCCTTCACTTAGTGATAGAGAATGAACTAGGGAGTTACAGGATGTGAGGGAGTTTAATAATGGGAGGTGGTGGTTCGTAACTATGAATGCTTATGGGTTATTTAAGTTGTAGCAAATATTGAACAAATTAGAGTCTTATATAGGTTGGAACACGGTAATTGATTGGTGTTATGTGGTAGATCGTTGTTGGGTTAGTTGGGTTATGGTGTCGAATGTGAAATATGAAGGCGGAGAGAATGAACAACAGATTGTTGGGTCATTAGAGATGGGTTATGGGTTGCAAGTGAATTATAATTGGAGAGGTTGAGTTGTGACCGTTGTGAAGGCAGATGATAGCTCTAATAATCGACGATTGTGGAAGGTACTTGTTAGCTAGACTGGTGTAATCGGTTAGCCTTCCTCTTGCAAGTAATCACGGTGTCCGTGAGTTTCACTCTTCCAGGTGATATTTCTGATATGAATTCGTGTCACATCCCTATCAAACCAATGAGACTTCAAATGCTTATCAATCGGAAGCGACAACAACATGATATCGTCCATGAACACATGCGACCTATCTCCAGCGACAAACTCAAAAACATCGCCATAGGCTTCGACTGAGCTACATCCCGGTACCTTTCTCACCATTTTCTCCTCCATTTACTTAGCATTGTGATAGACCCTATAAAAGAAGACAAGTCATAAGGGCAAATATCTAACAATTTCAGGGGGGCACATCCTAACTGAATGGCACTCGCAGGTTCTCTTTTCCATATGTTCTTCCCGATGCCCTATCCGACAGCCGCATCCGAAGTAGTGATTCCCTTCCTCGCTCAGGAAAGTAAGAAGGAAAGGCATAAAAGCAAGTACTGCGAACCACATCGTCCCACTGGTTGGTGGAGGCGTACATGTTTGGAAGAAGAACATGCACTCCACCCTGCTCTAAACTTTTCCCAGACAAATGCTCGACCATTTATTTTTATAACTCAACATATCCATGAACTCCACAGGCATTGAGCAATGCAACCAAGACTTACGAGTCTGGTTCCACCGGCATCTTCCTCTCTACTTTCTTTGCCTCTTCTAGCATACCAGCTTGTCCTAGTAAATCCACCAAACAACCACAGTGCTGTACCTCGGGCCGTATCAGTGTTATACTTTCAAAGACTTGCAGTCCCGAATCCACCAAACCCATCCGACTGCAAGCACTCAATACGCATATGAACGTAACCATGGACTGCATGAGTGATGATGAAAGAATTGTTGGAAAATAATAAATTTGGAAATAGACTCAGCCCGTTTGAATTAGGTTTTGTTAGAGATTAAGATTTAGTTTATTATAAATAGAATGCCTGTTATTTACTTAGAACAAGCTGTCAAGATGTAGTTGTTCAATTATAGCCGTCTCGGCAGTCTCGTTTAATCAATAATATTCATAGTATATTTCGTTTGTTAGTCGCCTTGGCTCCACATGGTATCCCATATTGACTGTATCTCTAAGAAAAAAAGAGTTTAAATATCCTAACTCTACTTCATCAAACATTGAGGCCGTTTGTGATAAAACCTCGCACTTGACGGACTGTGCACTTGATAATTCATTACCAAGTTGAGAACAATATCGATGTTGTTGGAAGTAGGCATTTGGCCCATCTCTCTGATAATTATATAATTTTACATGGTATCAGAGCTAGGGAGTGGGTCGTATTGCCACGTGATGAGTGGGTTTCATTGGCCTCGTGCAATGATGGTGGGTCCCTTGGCCTTACGTGTAGGGTGAATCTCCTTTGGCCTTGTGTGATGATGGTGGGTCCCTTGGCCCCGTGTGTATGGGTAAGTCCCCTTTGCTTTGAGTGGTTGCCGATGTGTGGATCTCCCACGTGTGACCCACTAATTGGGTTTCATGTGAGGGAACGTGTTGAAATATCCTATGTCGCTCTTTTATGAGAAAATAAGAGTTTAAATATCTTAACCCCACTCAAACTAATACTGAGGCCTTTTGTGATAAAGCCCTATACTTGACGGATCGTGCAGATGGTGATTAATAAGTTGGGGACAGTATCGGTGTTGTTGGAAGTGGGTGTTGCCGTCTCTATGATAATTCTACGTATGCAAAAACCGACGACGATATAGCTGCAAGAAGTAGTACTGCAATGTTGGTAATGCAGAGAGGGAAGGTTGAAGGTGCTGCTGCTGAAATTGAAGTAAAATGCAGGTAATTCATGGTCTTATTTCTCTATCTCCTCTGATTCTTCTCCTCTCTGAGTATATGTATATAATTGTTTATCGTTTTCTCCTTGAAAATCGTAACGGGGAAAGGAAAAAAACAAACCAAACATCACATGTATGTGCTTACATTTTTGTTTGACAGTTTTTCTCCGTTGTCTTTATCTGGTGCATGCGTTTCGAAGGTTTAAGCCCTAATTAAGTAAATTAAGGAATCTTTTAAACACAATCGTTATGCTCAGTGATAACATTATCTAAGTATATCCTAGTATAAGAGAATCACAAACTCAACTACTTCGTGTTTTGCTACGTATTGACAATTTACACTAACAAACTAACAATATATACGACACATGAAGACACTTTGACCAAAGACGATTAACTGTGAACATATTTTTAACAATCAAGGACACAGTCTATTGCTTGAGGTTGAGGGATATAAACTGAACCCTATAGATGTTATATTTGCATTGCAGATAGTGTTGCCCCGATCACCAAACCATGTTTGGTTAACATTCACTTTTATTTTTCAATGAAAAGATGGAGAGATTAGAAGGTTATTTCTTATAACACTTGTACAGGATTTTAGAGGGAAGTAAGTGAGTAAAAACTCTAAAGCTTGTCCTCTATTTATAGAGGTTTAATTGCCCCATTCTGAAGAGGTTAAACAACCCTTCAAAATCGTCACCCTTTGTTAAGAGGCATCACTTTCAGAAGGACATATCTAGTCACTTGAATTTAACTTCTTTTTCATTTTTAAAAAAGAAGGACAACCGATGGCAAGTCACGGTTATTCACCCATTTCTAACCCCGAAGAGGCTATGGGGAATTTCACCCTGCCTTGGAACTCGTCAAATCCCTTGTTTATTTTGAAATTTTTTTTCTAACATTATACGTCCAACAACATTTATTTAATTTGACAGGCTAATGATACAACACTAGCTTTCACAGATTACAGGTAAACAGAAGTTGACAGTCTAGGTTTGGGAATGGCGATGATACTCTTGGCCTTTTGAATTGTAATCCCAACAAATTCTTCCATATTGTCCACGACTTCAGGAGGGCATTCCCACTCAAAGGCATGGAGAAATGCTGCCAAGTAAAATTGCACCGTGCGATGAGCAAGTGGCCATCCTACACAGATCCTTTTCCCACACCCAAATGGCAGTAGATTGAAGTCTTGGCCTTTCACATCAATCTTCAAACCAATAAACCTTTCTGGTTTGAATTTGCAAGGCTCTTCCCAAATGCTTGGATCTCTAGCCATCCCCCAAATGTTCACCACCGCAACGCAATCCTTAGGAAAATGATACCCAGAAACCTCACAAGCCTTGTATGAGCGACGAGTAATGAGTGGGACTGCTGGGTGGAGTCGGAAAACTTCTTTCACTACTGCTTGAAGGTAAGGCAAATTCGCAATGTCGCTTTCTTCAACAAACCTGTCCTTTCCAACAACTTGGTCCAATTCCAGAACTATTTTCTTGTGTACATCAGGGTTTTTCAGGATCTCTGCCATTCCCCACTCGACAGTGCTTGTGCTTGTCTCCGTGCTTGCAATGAACATGTCCTGCAAAATCAAAATCAAGACAATTCTTAATTTCTTAAAATGAATCTATTTCAAGTAGGTTTGATTTTTACACAATCAGTAGTCCCAAAAGCCTAACAGCCACCGGAGTCAAAAGCTAAAACTGTTTTAAACAATGGACCAACAATGTATATCAAGCTTATATATTGACTTACCGAAAGCAAGCTTTTGATCATGTTTCTAGAAAGCGTTCTCAGGTCATCATCTTTATCACTTCTATAGTTCAACAATGCATCTAACATGTCCCCTTTCTCCTTCTTAGTAGTATTGTTGATTCCAATTTCCCTCTCTTTCAACCTCTCGTCGATAAGTTTCTCATACAAAGCATCATATTTCCAAAAGATCGCCAACGTTCTCCGTTTGAGCCCTTGAGGATCAAAAGGCTTGAATAATGGGAAGAAATCAGCAACATTGCCCGTGCCAAGAAGTTTTATTAATTCTCTTAATGATTCTTTCATTTCTCTCCCTTCCATTGTTGTGTACTCAAAAAGGCTCTTACTGCATGTAAGGTTGCTTGTAATGTTGGCTACGGTGATGAAAACCCACTCTCCAATGTTCACCGGATTCTTTGACGAAGAAGCTGAGTAGAGTTGCTTCAGTAATCCATGGACCTACAAACAATTGAAAGAATAAACCATATTTAGAGTATCAATATCAATATAAAAATGAAAATCTTTTTTCCAATATTTGAAAATTTCTTTCTCCGATATTTAAGAACATATCCTCAATATATAGGAGAGGACTTTATTATAAGAATGAACTGAACTCACAATCTCATTACGTGGTGTCACTAATACACTCATGTATTTCACCACTATTAATTATAGCACATAAATTAGTATCAAAACCAGGCAATGAAACTGCCTAAATAAAAAATTTCTTGCCAACAGCGTTCAATGTAAAGAACAGTTCTTTTCATAAGTGGTTTTACTGGAAGCACATCAAAAATGTTAATGCTTGCCTTAATTTTTTCTGCTAAATATAGTCAAAAGTACTTTTGGTCTTCTGAAAATATTCTTAGTTATTTCAAAAGCACTTCTTAAAACTCTCAATAGCTCGATCTAGAGACCAAAAAAAAAAAAAAAAAAAACCCAGTCTAGTAAGTGTGTATCTCTTATCAAATCTACAGATACTACTGCAATTACTTCATGGACTTATTGATCAAATCAAGATATGCCGAGATGCTTGAATGATTTCAAATGTGATCCTACAAATTATTTCAATTACGTAATCTAACATGATCCATCGGCAAAAGTTAAAAAGGACGGAAATTAACGAACCTTTTGCTTGCGAAGTGGTGTAAAATTGTCAAGGGCTCTAGTAGAGAAGACATTTTCATTCAATATTCTTCTGAGCACTCTCCATCGTGTACCCATCGGAGAATATACAAGGGAGGTGGCATCATATGACATGACTAGGGAGGTTTCGTTGGCGACATGATTGGAGAAAACAGCCTCCTGTTCCTTGAGGATAATGCGTGCCATTTCCGGCGAAGCTGCCACAATGACCGGCTTTGGACCCAATTTCAGGCTAAAGAGCGGGCCATGAATTTTGGATAACTTAAACAAGTGTTCATGCATTTGGCTGCTGCTCAGTTGAAGAAGGTTTCCGAGTATCGGCCATCCAACAGGTCCTGGCGGGGAGTTCTTCCAATTCTCATATTTGCCGCCGTGGACAAGACGAGTGATGAAAAAATATGCAGCAACTGATAACAATGCAATGATCATGCAGAGAGGGAAGGCTTCCATTTTTGCTACGTTTTTTTTCTTTCTCTCTAGGTCCTCTTGTTGCAATCAAACTCTCAAAAAGAGAGAACAAAACAAACAAACTATGCATCTTTCTTTGGACAGTTGTCCGATGCATGCTGTTTTTCTCTGATACATGACACGCTTTCTGGTAGAAATTGTGGTGGTGATGACAAGTTTACAATATGCATGCAATAAAGTGATTTCGGATAAAAAAAAGAAGACAAAAAGAGCGTTTGTTCCACCATACTATATCGGACTGAATTAGTTTAAAAGTTTAAATTGGATCAGCTTAGATTAGCTTAAGTTGGACTAAATTAGTAAAGTATAATTGGTGTAGTGTTGGACTCAAGAGTCGGATAACGAAAAACCATATCACATTCATCATTACCAACAAGACCAACAAAGCAATTCATAACAAAAATCATACTATTTTTTTTTTAAATTTATAAAATTTTCATTGAATAAAGAATGATGTTAGGAGCTACACATACGATATGAAGTCATCAAATGAAGTACTCCATCGCGTATACAAAAAATATATATACCTTCTGCATGATTTTTATTTGACATACAAACTCAAACTCAGGATCTTCTCCCTTCTTCCAGTAACTGGTGGACTTGTGGACTCGAATCTGGAATCTTAATATCTGTTCTTCGCATACGAGAGAGCTTAACCTCGTGGCCGGAGATAAGAACACGCCAACATTCTTCTCTGCACCCAGCATGTGGAAATACACTTGAGGTGCCCACCCATCCCGCTGGTTTAGGAGAGGGAAGGACTGCAATTAACAAGTCGAAGCTATGACAATTCCTATAAGACCTCCAGCGAAGACGTCCTGCCAATGATCTAGTAATCATCCACACGAGAGATTCCCAATAGAGCAGCACATAGAAATGGAAGGAATACAATGCAGAGCTTTGCGAAGGTCTGTGACCAAACACTTTGATCTTCCAAGACAAATGCCATGCAAGAAAACCAAGACCTGCAAGTAAAACTAAAGTATTACACTAGGAAAGTTTTTATGTCCTTCCTTTACAATCTTCTTCTCTCCAGTGCAGATAGCATTGTTAGTATCAGGATTGTATATATCTATTCCATCAGGGAAAAACCACCACAAGAGTTAAGAGAGCAGAATAGAAGAGGCCCAATATGGCATGTTGCAAATCATGAGAAAAAATTTAAACATACATTATTTGATTTACATCAAGTTTGACAGCAAATTCTCTGCACAATTGTAAAAGAAACATAAGCAAATTACCAAAACCGATATGAAAGAGGGTCAGATATTGCTTAAAAGCCCTTCCAATCTTCCTTATGGAACATATAGGTAATAACTAAATGTGAATTCATTAGTCAAGAAGCACCTTAGAGGACATTAAACATATAAATATTCTTCTTAATCTGAAAAAATTCACCATATTAGTATTTTAGGTTTTTATCACAAATGGTCTCTGAAATTGACTATCACCATCAAGATGGTCCTTGAAATTTAAAATCAATCAATGTAGTTCTTGAAAATAGGTGTTGCAAATCAATGTAATTATTCCGTCACAATTATGTTAAAAATTCTGTTAAGTGCTGATGTGGCACATAAATGGGTCCCATAAATCCTTTTTTCTCACAAGTGTTCCTTGAAATTGACCCGAGACATCAAAATGATCACTGAAATTGAAAATCGATCAATGTAGTCTCGCAAGTAAGTGCCCCAAAACAATGTAGTCCTTCCGTCACAATTCTATCAAAAATTCTGTTATGTGCTGATGTGACACATAAATAGATCATACAAGTCTAATTAAATTAAAAAAAATTACAAATAGATATAATAATTTAATAGTTAATAAAAAGTTGTGAAACCAAAAACCCAGTCTTGCAATCAACTTTTTTAATTAATTATTAAACCCACATAGCACATAACAAATTTTTTTACAGAATTATGGTGGAATGATCATATTGATGTGCGACACCTATTTTGAAGGACTACATTCATTGATTTTTAATTTTAAGGACCATTTTGATGCAGCGGGTCAATTTCAGGGACCATCTTGGTGGTGTGAGTCAATTTCAGGGACCATGTGTGATAAAAACCCGTAAATCTTATGGGGCTCATTTATGTGCCACATCAGCATTTAACGGAATTTTTAATAGAATTGTGACGAAATGACCACATTGATTTGTGACACCTATTTTCAAGGACTACATTGATTGATTTTCAATTTCAGGGACCATCTTGATGGTGAGAGTAAATTTCAAGGACCATTTGTAATAAAAACCCTAGGGTTCATATTCCCTAAGTAATTTAGAACCCATAATTGAAAACAAGGAGCACGAGTGAGCTGCATGTGTGTTTCCAAAGCCAGGAATATGAGCATATTGAATATATAGCCTCCCATATATAATATTTAGGAAAACAAACGAAAAGAGCTTGAAAACTTTGAGTTTTAACGATAAAGACAAAATAAAGGGTAAAGTGAATAGTACCATGATTGATTTTTTAGTGTAAAATGTGGTTTTTCGGTAAAATGAACAGTACCGCGGGATTTTAGTTAAACCTCCCTATATATTTTGATGTAAGTATCAAATTTACACGCATATCTCATATTCAATACACATGATTGATAGTTTTCACCACAATAACACCATTAAATTCCTAAATTTAAAAAAAAAAAAATTCCCTTAGTATAGTTTTCTTGTAGGCTTCAGGGTTAGGAACAGAGAGTCCATATATGAGGAAAGGAGAGCGGATACAAGAGCGGATACAAAACAAGAATTAAAGTACGACAATATCAAATGAAGCCTTGGCTTAGTTACCTTCTAAATGTCATTTCTACGATGAAGTCATAAAATCCTCATTGGTGTTTACAAATTCACATCGTTTTTGGTAATTACTTTTTCTTATAGTTGTGCTGTTGTTTCACTCACTTCATTAACCAGCACAAAGAATTTGCTATTAAGAACTGGCATCCACTGAAAAATTATTAAGAATTTTCTATACCATTCAACTGTTGTGAATGGATGTTTAATTGAAGGAACCAAACCAGCACAAAAAATTCTATGGATTCGGCACAAGTGGTAGCAGGATCCTATCATCTCCACAAATTTATCTCCAGATTAAGTTAATTTAGTAAGTTGATAGGATTCCGCTGACTCTTTATTTTTCATCAAGGCTCTAAAATCATTTTTCTCCTACTTTATGTTGATGATATTGCTGTCACTGGCACTGACTCTTGCTACTCCAAAGTTTCATTGATGCCCTTGGTCGTGGATTTGACATTAAAGCTCTTAGCCCCGTGCACTATTTTTTGGGCTTACATGTTCTCTCCCATGGTGGTTCTTTGCACATAAATCAGTTGAAGTATGCTCATGATTTGTCACAAAGACACAATCTCCTTCACTGCAAACCGGCATCGACCCCCTTGGCTGCCAAAGTCCTTCTTTCACGGTTAGCCGGTTCCTTGCTTTCTTCTCCTACTGAATTCTACGAGATTGTTGGCTGTCTCTAATATCTGACTTTAACTTGTCCAGACATCAGCTACGCTGTAAGTACTGTTGCCCAATTTATGAGTTCACCTTGGGTTCCTCATCTTGTTGTAGCCAAGCATATTCTTAGGTATGTCTAAGGTGTTAGTGTTTCTGTTTTCTTAGATTTTCAATGGTTATATGAAAAATGGAGAAGAAGAAAGAGGTTTTATGAATGTTTTCTTCTCTGCCATGAAATGTAGCAGAGGAATATATTTCTCTTACTCTAATCCAATCACACTTACATCGTGCAATAGACATGACTGTTAGAGAGAGTGCCCTACATCACAAAATGATCTCAACCATACATTGAGCTATTTACTAAGATCATTACACATGGCATTATATGCCTTACATCTTTTGACCTCACACTTGGCAGTAATATACTTAAGTGAATACACAAATAAGCTCATCTTATTTCACTAATACTAATCAGCTATAGATTTATAATTCAACAAAAGGCACTCTTAATCACGACCTTGTCTTCTGTACTCAAACTCATTCTGCCCGCCTTTGTGCCTATGTCGATGCGGATTAAGCTGGTTGTCCGAATACTCGCCGTTCCACCAGTGGTTATCTTATATATTTGGGTTCAAATCTCATGTCTTGGTGCTAAAAAAAGCAACCTATTATTGCAAGGTCTAGTGCTTAATTCGAATATCGCTTTTTAGCTCACTCATGTGCTGAGACTACATGGTTGTCTTATCTGTTTTATGAGCTTGGAGTCCCACTCCACTTTTGGTGTTTCTTTACTGTGATAATCTTAGTGCTACATACATGGCCGCCAATCGGTCTTATGTGCTCGTACTCGCCATATTGAGCTTGACTATCACTTTGTTCATGAAAAAGTAGCATTAGGCAGTCACCATGTCTGTTTCGTTCCCTCTATTTACCAACCAACTGATGTACTCACCAAGCCTTTTCATCAGCCGCGTCATCACTTACTTTGCTCCAAACTTGTCCACCCAAGGCTGTCCAGTTTTCCAGGGGGTTTGTGTTAGTGGAATCCTATCATTTCCACAAATCTCTAGATTAATGTGGTTGTTGATCATTGGATTATTACTTAAGCGTTAATTAACGTACTTATTTCTTATTGGTGATACATCATTTGGTTTAATATTTTGGTATTCGAAACATTACACATGAATTAATTGTAATTACTCCACAATTCTCTAGAATAAGTTAAATTTAGTAAATTGTATAGGGAAATGAATCAATTGTAATTAATTGATTCATCAAATGTAACTCTGAAATGAATCAATATCCACAACTGAAGTTGAGTACATTAGTGCTTTAGAAGCCACTGCACATGCAACATGGTTAAAGTTTATTCTGGAAGACTTAGGTGAGTTTCAGACATAAGCAACTCCTCTGCATTGTGATAATACATCTGCACTAGCAATCACCAGGAATCCCATCTTTCACCAGAAAATCAAACACATTAACATGTGATATCACTTCATCAAAGAAGCATTGCAGCAAGGGACAATTGATTTAAAGTAATATCCAACCAAGGAGCAATTGG